AATTAATGTTATGAATTGATAGTTATGTTTGTGTAACTAAATGTCACGTGAACACGTGATCTTGTACTACTATTTCGCGACTAATTAATTTGTGCTACAGACTATAGGTATTACTAAAAGTAATTATTAAATTGTTACTATTTGTTACATGAACTAATATTTAATTTTAAATATTATTTTAAAGGTTATTATTATAAATTATTGCAGGTGTTTTTAATATTATTTTATCATTATATTTTCGTTCTGTAACAACGTGAATTAAGTTGTATTTTTATATCAATAGGAAACTAATTAATTGTAAATCTGTGTTAGTTTGAAATTTCCTATAAAACAGTATCCAGTTTATGTGCTATTGGGGCAGTAAAAACGAACGAAGAAAAACCCCTTAATTCGAATCAAATAGCAGATAATATACGAAAATTAAAGGGGAAGCTTAATAACAAAACGACACCACTTAATCAGAAATTATTTTCAAGTTTATGCGAAGCATGGTCTAAGAACCTACAGAAAGTAAAAAATTCAGAATTGACGTGGAAAGATCCTTTGGCAAACCAGATTATTACAGATGATTCAGGGTTAGTGCGACAATTATCACCAACGTTACGATATTCCTTTATGGAACTGGCACGACAAATGACTCCAGTATCTCTCCCCTCAATAATACAAAGAAAGTGTAATGAATTTGTGTTGACCTTTAATGAAAATCCCGCAGTTGAATTACCACGAAGAATTATGCATAATGGGGTCTGGAAAGAATCAGAACATCGACTTGCAGAAGTCACAAATAGAATTTTAGATACTTTGTAAGTATAGGATATATTGCAAGATTTTGATCTCACCGTCTTTGCTGAAAAATTCACGAAATATTTTTTATTTGTATTAGGCAAGATGCATGGAATAATCCAGCATTTAGTCCTGAATTTGCGGAATTTCAGAGTGAAGGTACTTATGTGAATAATATAGTATTACCTACTATTCGAGCAACATTGAAAGATCTTCCTCTAGAAAAATCAACTTTTGTCAGCAGTTCCAAAAAGCAGAGTAGTGCGAGTGCAGATAGAAGAGGTGAAGGACGATCAGGTAGGCGACCCGATATAATATTTATAATGAAACATGGTGTAAAAAAATATGAACTCTTATATACTGAGTGTTCACGATTGAGTTGCACTCCACAAAAGAAAAAAGATGACGAAGTGAAATTGTGGCGTGAATGTAATGATGGTCTATATTGGGTTCATAAGAGTTGTACACCTGATAGAGATCAATTTGGCATTGTTGGAGTGCAAATAGCGGGTAGCACAATACATTTAAATGTTCTTACTAGAGACTTGGCAGATATTCACCGTTATTATCACATTCGTGATGTGGAAATACCTGTACAACAATCAAATTCTACTATCGTTACAAAATTCGTTGAAACCTTGTTGATAAT